GCACTTGATGCTGCTGTCCATGCTGCTGACAAAGGTGTTAAATAGCACCAGTCCCAGTACTGATCCCTGAGGAACACTGCTTGTCACTGGTCTCTACTCAGACATCGAGTCATTGGTCGCAACTCTTTTGAGTGCAACCTTCCAGCCAATTTCTTATCCACCAAGTGGTCCATCCACCAAATCCATGTCTTTCCCATTTGGAAACCAGGATGTCGTGCGGGACAGCATCAAAGGCTTCGCATGGTCCAGATAGATGATGTCAGTTGCTCTTCCCATGTCAATTGATGCTGTAACTCCATCATAAAAGGCCAACAGATTTGTCAGGCAGGATTTTCTTTTGGTGAAGCCATGTTGGTTGCCACCAATCACCTCCACGTTTTCCATGTGCCATAGCAGAGCCTTCAGGAGGATCTGCTCCATGATCTTGCCAGGCACAGAGGTGAGACTGACCAGCCTGCGGTTGCCTGTGTCTCCCTTTTTCCCTTTTAGAAAATGTGGGTGATGTTTCCCCTTTTCCAGTCAGTGGGCACTTCACCAGACTGCCATGACTTCTCAAATATGATGGAAAGTGGCCTAGCAATTTGGTCTGCTAGTTCTCTCAGGACCCATGGATGGATCTCATTAGGTCACATGGACTTGTACACCTTCAGGTTCTTTAGATAGTCATGAACCTGCTCTTCACTTACAGTAGGTGGATCTTCCTTCTCCCAGTTCCCATCTTCGGCTTCTGTAACTTGGTCAGTGCAGCTAGAGCCCTTTCTGGTGAAGACTGAGACAAAGAAGTCATTGAGAACCTCAGCCTTCTCCATGTCCCTCGTGACCATGATAATGTAGCGCAAAATAGTTACAGGAAAATGTTTAGGATAAGCTGGAAAAAAATATTATATCTTATTACTGTTGTCACTCCAGTAAGAACCAACAACCTTCATACTCCCATCACATGTCAATATTTCATGAACATGCTCTTTGTATTGGAGTTGGCCAGGCTTGCCAGAAAAATACTCTCTCCTCACCAAATCGGCATGAACGGTGAATTCCAGAACTGAAACGAGTGCAAATAAGCAAATGGCAGTTAACATGTATCAGATATTTTCCTTACAGGTGCTATTTAAATGGGGTTATTTTATATCATGATCACTTGCTTAGTGAAGTAATAGAAGTGTTTAACTTCTTGTAGATCTCTGCTGATGCATACTTATCTTCTAAATGGAATTTATGGTAAAAAAAATAAACATTCATAAAACATTTGTAGATGAACATTCATTGTCTCCCCTTGAGCCACAATCACTTAATTACTGTTAGAGATCTTTAGATAAAAAAAAAAAAAACAGTATGAGCCTGCTACATGACTCAATCTACTCCCATTCAGTTCAAAATCAATCCACACCCACAGCACCACTGATAGTTTTATCCTGGGAATAATCAGTGTTGATAATAGCGTTTGGGGCATGCTAAGATGTTTGTCTTCTCTTGTTTAATCATTTACCTGTAAAAGCCCACACTCCCTTTAACAGCAGGCACAAAGCACGTGCAACCTAACAGTCACTTTGTGAGACAGGAAAACACATCTTCTGGGTGGAAAAGATCAGGTTCCTAACTCCAATGTCACGGACACGCTTTTCTTGTGTACCTATAGACAAGTCACAGTCTAAACTTCTCATATGTGCTGCACGCTTCATTTACGCACTGATTTTAAGAGGCTTAATGTACTTCAGCTTGAAACTTTTTCTGCTATACCTAGTGGAAGAGGGAATGGAAATGAACAGTATTATTCATAAAAACACTACAGACGTCCATACGCATACACGTGCATGTATACACAGCAACTGATTCACTAGGAATCTTGCTCTTGCCATACGTATCATACAGCCCTTTTACTCTTCTCTGCCACTCTGCTCTGTCCATGCTTCCTTTTTACCGCAGGAAAGGAAAGACGTTTTTACCCACCCATCACACTTTATCCACTCTTTGAAAGCTTCCCTTCTCAAGGCCTGTGCGTATTGCATTGGCACGCTACCAAAACCCACTAACAAATGGCAGATTAAGTGGAAACACGGAAAAGAATTTCAAGCATGTATTATACTTGCTTGGAGTTCAGCGTGCAACTTTTAAGACGAGGGCTGTCCTCTAAACAGGCAGGCCTGGGAATTCAGTTGCAAAACAATTACAGATGCAAGGAAAATACCTTTCCTCTGAGAAAGAAACTTGACGATATTTTGCAGTCTTCACTACGCTAAGTTCACTCTGTGCTCTGGAAGAGCTCAGCATGGTCTGTGCTTTCTCGAGACCTCAGTTTCCATCTCCAGCACTGTTCTCCAAGGGAGTTGTACCACTTTAACTAGGATTTTTCATATATGTCAGACTCTTAAAGATGCGGGAGCAGAAGACTAATCCTTTCCACTCACCAAAACAGCCCCTCTATACCCATCTGCTGTCTTGCCTTAGGATACAAGAACAACAAGGCACGTGATCCAGTTCTGCAGATTATTGGCAGTCATGATCAGCCGGACAATAAAATATCTAGTGTCATGCCTGTATATGGTTTAGATGCTCGTGTTTCCTTGATGAACTATGTTAGCTGCACGGCTACCTTTTTCAGGGTTTAAAGGCCTAGTTTTAGAAGACCCCTATGTACAGCATCAAAGCAGAATGCAGTTTCCAGACCTGCCTAGCAATGGCCCAACCCCACTCTGAATGAATACGCTGGCAAAATTACCATCAACTCAGGTGGGCCCAAGTAAAACAATGTTGAGCCTCAGCACAACAATTCTGACCACATTATCTGAGATTTCCTTTTCTTTCCAAAAACAATATCTTGAATGTTTGCATAGGGTGTACAGTAGAAAGAGACTCTCCCACCCCGATTACACTAAACTTGCTGCATACTTTTTTTTTTTTTTTTTTAAAAAAAAAACCTTGCTTACACTACTCAGGCTCATTTTCCTTCTGCACAACTCAACTCTGCCAGTCATCTAGAGAGAATAAAAGATCTCAGTCTACAATCCAATGAAGCAGTTGAGAACACAGGACCAGTGGATGTTAAATATGTCTCATAAGCCAGGACTGGTGTTCTCAGGGCCACAGGACATAGCATGCACATCCAGAAATCAGGAAAGGTGTACAAGTAGCAATTCCTAAAATCAAACAGTGGAACACGGTCCCGTGGTCCTCAGAAAACTGTGGGTCTCACTGTTGGCTTCAGAGGAACTTTTTTCTTACTGCACCAACTACAAGAAAAGATAGACCTGATGTAAAACCTTATACTGACTGGTTCAAATGCCTCCATAGTTTATCAACCCTAAAGTTAATTTAAAAAATGTGATTCTCTAGTCTAATAGGTTATTTTCAGCTTTAACTAACCTGAGCTCATGACTGGCTTTGGAACTGCAACAATTATATGAAAGCTAAGATTGATTATTACTGTCCAAAGACATAGAGTAATTAAGCCTACTGAAAAAAAACCTGAATTATTTCTATAACAAGTGGGACAAAAAAAAAAGGAAGGAAAGCAAACAGCATCGAGGATATTAATACATCTGTTCTGTATCTGAATGTCCTTCCAAATAAGTAACAGAAACAAGATTGAAAGTGCAACCCAAGTATAGTAGAAACACAAGAATGTCTGCATTGAAATTCCATAACTTTTCTTTATTCACTGTGATACATTCAAACAAAAGTGCTCCAGATAACAGCCATAAAGTAAAGGAAATTAAAATAAAAACACAGAAAAAGACCATCAGATACATATGGTGATTATTCATATTTCAAAGCATTAGTAACTGCTTGTATCTGAGTGCACCAAAAGCCCACATGAGGGTCCATGTTTTTGTACGCTGCACCTATAAAAATCATAGGCAGCTCTAGCAAAAAATGTTTTTCAGAACTAGAGCCAAAGCCATCACAAAGATAAAGCACCATCAGGCATATGTTTACAAATGCCATAGTAATTAGTAGAGTGTAAGAAAGGCTTAGCTGAATTAACATTTTCCTTGTATAGCATAGGGAAGCTTGCTTAGATTCATTCCTTCCCAGCTCTGCCATTTCACACCAGGGACTTGCACTTGCTCCACAACACCAAGCACCACAGGCAACTTGGTAAGCTTCAGGAGACATGAGAGATGGATGGAAGAGAAACTGGAACTGAAGCCAGTGTCTATCCTCTATTTAAAAAAATATTGGCATGGCAGCATGTACTTAACCATGTTACGGCAATACAGTGGCGCAATCCACCTCGGAAACATTGTTTGTACAAACCACACTGACTTCCCAACACTGTTTGCTGAGCTACAAGTATTTGGCTCTGCTGATTTTATCTATAAAAGACAGTTTCTGTTTTAAACTCCAATTCTGCTATAGTAAAAATGTAAGTCACTTATTTGCAAGAGCGAGCAGAGCATCACCCCATAGCAAACCCAGATTGCATCCTATAACGTGGCTCTATTCCAGCTGCAGAATTACTGAACTGTGCATTTGCCAAGAACTATCTGTAACTCAGCAATTTGATGGGAAGGAGGATTCCTGTCCCAAACAACAGAAGAAACGGAAGTCACGATGCCGTACAAATTACACTGTCAAAGGGATATGACAAAGAGACACTTACAAATCTAGGGTCCATCCACCTGGTGTATTTTTAGGTATAACAGCGTGGATCTTCAACAAAAAAAGGGAAAACTCAGTAGAACCCTTGTCCTACTCTTCCCTTTACCTGCTCCGCAGGCAGCCATTCAGATGGCCAGCAAGACCAAAGACAGGCTTCCCCTCTGAAAATCTGAGTTGCTGACATGAGATTTTCCTTAATAGATCTAAGTAGGTCATAACAGAAAACAAGCCTCTGTCCCCATACACTTTCTATAACAGTATATTCATAAGGAACCTGCTAGGTGTAAGACTATGTCCCAGCTGCTCTAAAGATTTAAGCCCACGTCTGATTTGTGTTTCCCAAAGCAGGATGCAATAGCACTGCTCACGTGGCCAAGATCATCTTCACAGTCAGGTCCTTGCAACATCAAGGTCTGTTTGCTCAAAAGGCATTTTTATTAACTATGTTACTAATAAAGTCTCAAATCACTCAGGCCGAAAGAAGGTTAGAATGTTATACAGTTATTTACCCTTCACGCTATTTGTGCGACATTCATCTCCCACAGCGCATGCCTTGCCCTTTTCACACTCCCTTTCTCATGCAGGAACACAAAGCTGTAATGTTTGGGTTGCAAACACCGTTAAATGCCCCTCTTCAGCCCCCAACAGCATAGAAATATTTTCTTTTAAAAGTTCAGATCAAAGCATTTCTACTAATCCTAGGATTTATTAAAACAAACATTGTAGGCATGAGATAGTCAACAGCGTCCCTTTTATAAGATTCTTTGGAGACGGTTCTGATTTTGTACTGTTTACTGATCCGCCCCTAATTAATCTTCAGTTACTCAGCTGCAAATTCTGCAAGTCCACCTGCTCCTTCCCCACCCAGCAGACGTTCCTTTCTCCCCAGTTTCGAGCTGTAACGACAGCACCACACAGCCCCTGTCCCAAGAACAAGGTGGCTTGCTTGACAAGTTATATATCACATCCCAGTGTTACAAGATCGTATCACACACGTTTGCAGCAGAAGTCTAGCCTTTCCTCAGATGAGTAATTAAAATCAGTCATTAAGTGCTTTCAAGGAGTTTCATTGTCTTTATCCTTCCCTGCAGTCAAGGTAGTTGCCTTTGATCCAGTAACAGATCTGTGCATATTTGAGGGGTGTGATGCGAACAGCTACATTGAAATCCTGTGGGGTGCCATTCATGTCCACCCACTGATGGCCTGAAAATATTCCAATAATTTTACGCTCCCATTTGTGATTCTGCCTCTTCCACATCCTCACGTACACCCCAGATCCACTTGCACCTGGCTGGGCATCGCACTGCTGGTACAACAGGTCATACGTTTCATCTTTGACATCACAGAAACGGTAAACCAGGTTTCCCGGACGATCATTGTCATAGCCAGAGAAGTGAATCCTCCCTCCAGGCAAGTGTCTTGCTGGTGGGCTCACACCTATCTTCATAAACTTTCTTTTATGAGGCTTTTTCAGCTCCAGCAGGGCATAGTCATAATCCATGCCAATGTCATTGGCATTGCCTTTGATCCATCCTTTCGGGACATGTGTCCGTTTCACTCGGATCCACTGGAATTTCATTTTCTCAGGCATTGCCGAGTTGGTGATATTGGCCCCTTTGCTGCCATCTTTCAGTTTGGGCTTCAGGAACCCCACCCGCAGTTTCTGAGCTCCTTTGACATAACTCTTGCCATCATGGATACAATGAGCTGCAGTAAGAACATGCTTTTCAGCCACCAGCGTCCCTGTGCAACCTGTAGACAGCTTCACCGATGTAGAGAATGGATAATTCAACAAGAAGTCTTTCCCAAAAATGCTAAACCTGCTGTCATAGCCATAAATCTGCCTCTTAGTTCGAGATTTGCCTTGAGACCCATCACCGCTGTTGCTCAGAATATATATGCCCACTTCAGTTTCGGTGAGGCTACCATTAGCGTACAAGGTTTCATAGGACAGGTAGTTCTTCACTTCTTCGTAAGTTGGCAGCGGAGAACTTTTGTGACATGCTGGGCCACAGGGAGATACCACTTCCAGTCTAGCTTCAGCATCGAACTGTGGTTTGTCCAAGTTAAGGGTTGACTGTGGCAGGATAACTGGAACTCTGTAAGATGGCCAAGTTGGCTTCCAGTGGGAACTGGAGGGCACCACATCTTTAGCAGCACACAAAAGGAGGATTAAAGTGGACAAGCCTGCCATTCTGAATGCTGGTCTGTGGAAAGCAAAAGGAAGTCCAGTTACTCACCCAAACACGTTGCAAGATTAATCTACCTTGCTAAGTAATGGCTTGCTAACCAAGTATACTATAATAAGGGTCAAGCGATTTGAATGAAGCCAATTATCATTAAGTACTTCAGATTTCTCAGTGTTAAACTAGTGCCTTAACCTGTATCTTGAAATTAACACTGAAACACAGAGCATTTAACCCTTAGGTGTGCTTAGTCACCAACTCCCAGTTGACATCAGTGGGAAGTTATGGTATTTGTTTTCACATGCTGTAAGGAAAATTCAGACTCTGTGTAAATTCCTGCATTTGGAAACCACAGCTCCTGCAAAGAGTAGATGTGTCTTACTTCAGCCAGAGTACAGCATTCTCTGAAAGCTCCAACCTACTCTCTGACTCCCCTGAGAGAGGTCCTTAAATCACCTCACACCGTTTGCTGTCTTATCCAGAGACATCAAGCTGGTGATAGGAACAGTCGGGTGGACAAAGAAGGGAACCTGAACAGGAGCTGGGTGGCAGAACACAACCACACGTGAGACTCACTTCCCCTTGCAACTCATACCGGAGGAAGGTTTCTGCTCTGTGTAGCATTTGCTCTCCCCCAGGCTTACATGAGAAAGGGTGATATAATTACACAAGGGCAGCTAATGAAGCAAGTTTACAATTCTTGAGGGCATTTTCAGTTAACATACTGGCTTATTCCTTTATAAACTCAATTAATTAGAAATGCAAACCAACCCCCTCTGAGCACAGGGAGGCAAATGGGACTGTAAATGTGTTTATGAACCACAGGCAGAGCGCCTCAGACTGCAGAGAACAGCGTGCACTAGTACTGTGTCAAGAAACTGTGTAGCTTTAGTTTATTTGAAAATTAGCCATACAGCTGAATCGCTGCGGGAGGCATTGCGCCCTGGGCAAGAAGGCAGGCAGGATCTCCCTCATACAAAGATTATTCAAACAAAACTTTGCCATTATGTTGAGCTTACACATATTTAAAACCCTGCTGAGGTTACACTGATCACAACTGCAGGATCATTCCTGGAATACCTCAAATGAGTAAACCAAAGCAAATCATGCAGGAGATTATCACAACTATCTAAGAACAAAAAAGATAAATCCTTCTCTCCAATGCTTTTTGTAGGAATACTCCATCCCTAAGCTGCACTGACATAGACACTGGAAGCTACAGACTGCTAAAGTCCCAAGGTGTCCAACTCAAGTATTTGGCCTGGATTCTCCCACTGTTGGTTGCATCCTCTTTGGGAATGGAGGCCATAATTAAAGCACACGATGTTCAAGATATCAATTGACTCATGCAGGATATCAAAACATTTCCATTCCAAAAAACAGACATAGACAAACAAAGCTGATGCTAGTGATACCACAGAGGCAGGTATCGACTCTTCCAGAAGCGACTGGACATTCTGTTGGTAGTTCTTTCATCAACAAACAGCTCATCTTTAACGAGACGTATTTGTTTCTAGAAGGGTTAAACTCTAATCAATGTGTTGCTTTATATCTAATGGGCAAGTCATGCTGGAAAATGCAGGCCATTTTAAACATGAATCAGAACTGCATAATTTTGGATGTCCCAAAATTGGAAAATACTTGTTTATGTATTCAAGGAAAACTGTCAGCTCCTCTGGCTCCTTCCACAGCAGAGATCAATAGTGGCTGTGGCTGGGTTTTGCAAGCTATGAAATGGGGTACTCTCACATCGGTATAAGGATAGCCCAGGGAACACTTGCTGTGTATCAAATATATTCATCGTATACCAGTGATTAGGAAAACATAGAAAAAGAAGGTAACAGGGTCAAATGACACCACACCATCCCCACAAAGACAATACCCAGGAGCACAGGTCAGCTGCTAACTGTCCTACTTGTGACAGCAAGGACTGCACACAGAAATGTTTACTGGTCTCCCAGTTAGAAGCTGAGAACAGACTAAATCACTGTTGCACTGTGTATCACGTAGCAGATCCCATCATTAAGAGGACATATTTATAAGCAGTCTGCTCTCATCTGCTTCACACCAAAGTTATTCCCACAAATTACATTTGAAACTTTCCTGAGAGACGGAATCTCTGTCTAAATTGCACCATTCATGCCACTTCTTGGATCAAAAAATCATTCATGCTAACTAAGCCAATGCTGGCCTTTGGCTGGTTTATTTAGCTGGCACGGGAAAATTAGGAGTGTCTTGTCAGTTGTTACTTGCACAAGCAGCAGATTCCCTCGTGCCTGTCAGCACAGCGACCTGATGATGGGACCGTGTGCCCAGCAACTCCTCTGCTTCCTCCGAGAGCCTCGTCTGTGCCGAGAAGAGAAACTACCTCTCCCCGCAACCTGCCTTCCCTTATCTCCCTACCATCACCACTACAGCAAGGCCAACGCTGGAAAGGCACTTTTAGACAGCAGAGGGCAGCCGCCCTATGAGGAGAACAAGACAGGAGCTGAGACTCAAGCAGGTCCCCAAAAAAGCCTTCAGAAGATGGTATCTGTGTCTGTGCTGTGCTCTGTAAAGAGGCACTCTTTCTTCATGAGACTTCAAGTCTCTGAGAAAGCCTCCCCACATCCCTCCCCTGCTGCTTCTGTGCTAGGATCTACATTGCAGATATATGGGACAAAAAAAGCCTTTTCATCAGCTACAGAACTTTTCTATTATTTAAAATGTTATTAAAACCTAACAATAAAATACAGTTGTTGAGTTTATACCTGACCATAGAAGATAAACAGTGCTCACAAACCAAGGCATTTACTGAAGTCTTCATAATTATGTCCTTTCTGGAGACATAACTGGTACTAAATCAGCTCTGGGCTGTAATAAATAGAATAAATATGTCTTACTTACAATGACATGCCAAATTAGCACATAGTACCTCTTCTTTGTAAATCCTTCTTCCTTAAAAAATAAATGGTTAAGCAGAAAAATGAAGGAATTTTAAAAGTAGTCTAAATTTGAAGAGGGACCTACAAGGGAGCCTCTTCTTTCCTTTTCCCTTCTCTTTTCCTTTTTGCTTAAAAGTAAATTAAAAAGCTGCAAAAATCAGGGTTAACAGTCTCTACCTTCAGCTGCTTTCAGTGGGTGATGCTGAAAGATGTTCTCAAATCGAACAAACTGGTAGAAGAAGCGAGCACTTCCCTGAACAGCTATCACAAAACAACCCTGGATGAATTACGATGTGCTGCTCTACTGTAGAACTGCTCTTCTGTTTCTATTTAAACTGTGTCATAAACTCAATCCACCCTTTGACTCAGTACAAAGCCCTGCTCTGATATCCAGCCTAGGAACCCCCTAGAAAGCGGTTTGTACATAATCACACTTGCTAATGGCATTAAAATTGTTTAGAGAATGGAAACAGTGACAGCTACCCCGGGGCTCCCCATGCTGCTAAAACACTTTACAGACACATTTTCCTGCCTGCTATGGGCATTCACGCCTTGAGATAGATGCTGGTGAAAGAGAACTGCCTTGTTCAGGACGGACGCGAATCATTTTCTAATAAGCAAGTAATTTTTCTGGAAAAGTTCACGACTTCAGGGGTGGTTCTTGTAATAGATGGTTAAATATCAATAGATCTTGGAACATCCAGTATGAGAGCCCATGAACTGAACAGTCTCCATTACTTTTTGAAATTAAGAAAGATTTTCCACAGTGCTGGAAGCCAGAATGATTAACATGGAAAGAAAAAATGAAGAAAGAAAACCAAGACAGTAAGAGAGAAAAACCTGCCTCAAACCAAATTCTAAAGGTGTACTGAATTACTGTCACTGCCGTGCCAAAATACCTCTGCTGCTTTCCTTAAGTCACAGAACTTGTTAAAACACAGCAAAAATAATTGAGTCGTGCTTTAAGAATTACAGAAGCCTCGCTGACATTAAAATCTAACATCTCCATTAGCCTGCCTGCGATGCTGAGGATGGTGTGAGAGTTACACCGCCTTACCTGCCAGACCGAGGGCTGTAAGAAGAGATGTCTCAGAAAACCTGAGATGAACGTCGATACTGGCAGGCCAAGGGTGGCTGTTAACACACACAGCGGGTATTTTGACACGTGTGTCAGCCACACAAGCACACACAGAAGAAAGAGACCACGTTAGGTGCTTACCAGTTAGTCCGACTCCTATAGAACAATTTTACTGCCTCCTTTCGCCCTCCTTTCTTTCCTCTCTCCCTGCATGTGAAGCAGCTTCAGCTTCATTGTACAAGAGCAAACTGTGCTACAGGCGGACAGTGACGGCGGACTGGAATAGCCCGGCAAGCTGTAAGCCAGGACACGCATTCCCAGGGCCACCAAAGCACCTGAGCGACGGGGCCGCCGCGCAAACGGGGTCTCCGGCAGGACCTTACCGACCCCCGGAGCCCGCTCGGGGCAGGAGGTGAACAACTGCCGCAGGCTCCGGCAGCCGCTTCACTGACGAGATCGTGTCACGTATTTCTTAAAAACAAACAAACAAACAAACAAAACCCCCAAAACCACACAACCAAAACCAACCCAAAATACCGCTGTTCTCACTCACGCTGATGAACCAAAGTACAGGACCGCCGCGGCTCAACCGGAGAGCTCCTTCCGACGCCTCCCAAGCGTGAAACGCAGCAAAGGCGAATTTTTCGCCAGCTGTTTCCTCACCAGACGCCCTTTCAAAGTTCGCCACGGGC